CGAAGAACGAGCAGAATCTCCAGTCTGTCAAAATGGAAGAATTGGAAGCCCGCCTTAATATCATTGCCAACCAAAGTGACGCTCCAAGACGAGGGAGTTCAGACCCTATCCTGGGCTGAATGGATGCAGCCCCTTATCCTCCAAAATTTGAAGTCCCGACGCTACAAACTTTTGACGGCACGGGATCACTGAACCAACATATCTATCATTTTAAGTCACAGACTGGGAATGTGATATCAAATGATGCCATACTGGCTCGATTGTTCATTAGCACCCTCAAGGGAGTTGCTTTTGAATGGTTCAGAAAATTGCCTACTGGATGTATCCAAAAATGGACAGATTTAGAGAGACTCTTCCTGTCAAGATTCTTTGAAGAGGATACAGAAGTCTACATCCATACCTCCTCGCCACTAAGCAAAAGAAGAGGGAGTCCGTCAAAGCTTTCGTCAAGAGGTTCCGAAGCATGGCTCTTCGATGCCCGACAGGTATGACACAGTCTACCTTAGTAGAGACCTGTCGACACAACTTACAGACCAACCTTCTAGCACAAATGAGGGTTGCAGAATGCCGTTCTTAGAGACAACTAATCTCTCAAGGCAAACAGGCTCAAAAGATTATTACCAGGATCAAAGCTGAAGAACAAAGTAGGCAGGATCAACCTGAGCAATCGGACCAAGCCCAACATTCACCTGAGCAATCGGACCAAGCTCACTCTTCCCAGTCAGAACCGGAAGATACTACGATCACTGAAGCTAATCCTCTTCAATAGGATGGTCCCCCACCAATCCTCTTCAAGTAGGATGGCGGGACCACCAAAACTATCACGTTAACCGTCACCTCTGATGGTCCTTTTCCTCCAAATTCTCCCACCAATCCTCTTTAAGTAGGATGGCGGGTCCACCAAAACTATCACGTTAACCGTCACCTCTGATAGTCATTTTCCTCCAAATTCCCCCACAAATCCTCTTCAAGTAGGATGGCGGGTCCACCAATACTATCATGTTAACCATCATCTCTGATAGTCCTTTTCCTCCAAATTCCCCCACCAATCCTCTTCAAGTAGGATGGCGGGTCCACAAAACTATCACGTTAACAGTTACCTCTGATAGTCAAACTCATCAGATAATGGCCTACCAGGTGATGTACCTCTATTCCGACTTCATGGATAGTGCCCCACTAGGTGATGTGCCTTGTCTACCTCTTTTTATTCCCCTGCTAAGTCTTAATCAAGACTGGGGGTTGGTTACTTGGAATCCATTGGATTAAGAGTAATAAATCTTTCACATCGTCAAGTTAACATTACACTTCTGACGATCATCACCCCACAGAGTATGAATGCAGCTTGCATCACTCCCAATTTGTCACGTTAACAATACACCTCTGACAATCAACCTATCACTCCTCTTCAATAAGATGATAGGTCCTCAAAATTGCTCAAATCGCAATCTTCCCCAGCAAGACACTAAGTCTTCAAAATACTATCGCTTCTGATGATAAACTCACCTAGCAAGTCTCCCCAGCGAGACGCTAATTCCTAAAATCTTGTGCAAGTCACAAGAACAAATTCCCGTCATGTTAACATCATACCTTAAACCTCTGACAAATTAACTTATCAATCCTCTTCGATAGGATGATAAGTCCTCAAAGTTGCTCCAATCGCAACACAAATCTTGTCACGTTAATATCAAACACCTCTGACAAAATCAACTTATCGACTCTCGTCAATAGAGCGATAGGTCCTCAAAGTTGCTCCAATCGCAACACAAGTCTTGTCACGTTAATATCAAACACCTCTGACAAAATCAACTTATCGACTCTCGTCAATAGAGCGATAGGTCCTCAAAGTTTCTCCAATCGCAACACAAATCTTTTCACGTTAATATCAAACACCTCTGACAAAATCAACTTATCGACTCTCGTCAATAGAGCGATAGGTCCTCAAAGTTTCTTCGATCGCAATACAATCTTGTCACGTTAACATCACACCTCTGACAAAAACCCACTTATCAATCCTCATCAATAGGATGATAAGTCCACAAAGTTGCTCCGATCGCAACATTCTCTTGTCACGTTAATATCAAACACCTCTGACAAAATCAACTTATCGACTCTCGTCAATAGAGCGATAGGTCCTCAAAGTTGCTCCGGTCATAACACTTCCACTTATCGACTCTTGTCAATGGAGCGATAGGTCTATAAAAATACTATTAGGTTAACATCACACCTCTAACAGTAAAACCCCCCAATGAACTTGTTAATCCTTTTTCAATAAGAATAACAAGGTTTCATTATAAAATCCCCAGTGGATTAGAGATTTTCTGAAATTATCCCAGTGATAATAAAGAAAGTTTCTGAATTTCACTCTAAGTGAAAATTCACGCCAAGTTAATACTACACCTCTGGCACTTCTAATTTTCTTTCAGTGTTTCAAGTGAAAATATAACACAGGAAGAAACAGTGGCAAAGTCTACGTATTCAACATCGTAGCACCAAAAATCCATGTCTTACACGCATGGGGGATTTTATCTCGATCCCTAATTAGAGATAAGCCTACGCCTAACACGCGTTGCCGGTTAGTCTTTTTCCATAAAAATAATAAAGTCTAAGTATTCAAAATCATAGCATCAAGTCTAAGAGGATTCATTCTCTTAGCACAACGGTACATGTGGAACGGACTTAGACAATCCACATGCTAGTCCGACTCAAACGGTAGTCGGTAAAGGCTTATCAAATCCGTTGATGGCTGAAGGTTTCCCAAAAATCCTATGCACGTTTGCAGGTCCATCAGCTTAATGGATGTGAGCCGAGACTTAAAACAGATGAGCCAAAGACAAGTCTCAAAGACTTAGCCAAAAATGCACGGAAGCCACTTCCATGTCTTAAGTCAAAACGTTGAGGTCAGACCCGCGATGCAAAAACCAAACGTCGAGGTCACACCCATGTTCCAAATTCAACATGCAAGGGTGAGACCCACATCTCAAGTTCAAAATGCAGGGTCTACCCCCACATTCCAGAAGTAGGATTATGGCGCATACCTTCACACAGGTCCTACGTGGCAAATCCCTTCAATCACCATCCGAGAAAGAGGACCTTATATCTCTCATTAGAGAATATATAGATGTCTTTGCTTGGAATTACAAAGACATGCATGGTCTTGACCCGAAAGTAGCCATGCACCGTCTCAATATTGATTCGGATGCAAAACCCGTCAAACAATAGCAACGTAAGTTTCGTCCAGAGATCATGGAAGCAATTGAGTCAGAGGTTAAAAAGCTTATAGACTCGGTGTAGGCTGTCTAAAAATCACAATAGATAGCTGATCCCCATCAAACACCGATGTTGGAAGTTACAATCTGACGACTTCCAGAAGGCTACAATTTGAAGACTTTCACGTAGATCGATGAATGTTATAATCTGACGACCTTCACAACAATTGATGAAAGCTCTAATCAACAGCCTCCACAATCAACATCGGGAGTTACAATCTGACGACTCTAACATATCAGAGAGCTAAAGTAAAGATTAAAAAATAACGATCTTTGCAACACTTCGACAGAAAGAGACTACAAATCGACGGCCTCTTCAAAACAAGACGTGGAAGTCCTCCCCGCGTACCAGCATCAAGATGCGCCGCGTTCATAGCCATGAACGCAGCTCAAACGCAGCTCTAAAAGCTGCAAACATAGCTCATGTTCATAGCCACGAACGCAGCTCAGACACAACTTCCAAATCGCTGCAAACGTAGCTCAAACGCAGCTCCCAATGCTGCCAACGCAGCTTCCAAATCGCTACAAACGCAGCTCAGATCCGCTGCCAAACGCAACCAACGCAGCTTCTATCCGCTGCCAAACGCAGCTTCCATCCGCTGCCAAACGCAGCTTCCAAGCCGCCAAACGCAGCTTCCAACAAGATGCCAACGCAGGCTTCTATCCGCTGCCAAACGCGGCTTCCATCCGCTGCCAAACGCAGCTTCCAACGTTGCCAAACGCAGCTTCCAAGCAGCCAAATGCAGCTTCCAATAAGATGCCAACACAGCTTCCAGCCGCTGCGTCTGAGCTTTCAGACACTACGTTCAAGCTTCCAGACATTGCGTTTAAACGCAGAATTCACACCAGAACGCGGGCCTGCGTTTGACTCGTTCAAACACAGCTGAACGGTTCCAAAACCGTTTCCCACGATCTGAGGGGATCATAACTCCACTCAGGAGTGATTTAAGAGGCGGTTACATCCCATTAGCCCCACTTAGGAGCGAATTAAGGAGGTGATTACACCCCTTAATTCCCTATAAATAACTAAAAATCAATTCAGTTCAGGGTCGGTCTGTTGGAACTTCTTGACAGCGAAAAGAGGATCCTTCATCCTTCGGTTGGAGCTTTGGAGATCAGCAACAAGATCTTCTTCATCCTTGGCTTATAACCGACTTTCGGTTAAATCAACTCTTTCATAGAGTTTTAAACTCGTTCAGAGTTCTCCACAACGTCAAATCGTGAGGAGAAGACCACGTTCCAGTGAAACAAGACATCGGATCGTCAACGGGGAGCAAATTCGACGCAAGCATTCGAAGGAGGCACTCCATCGCCACCGTAAAGAACCCAGAAATAAACAAATGAGAGAATCCAGATCATTCTCTTCTCTTTTGTAATCAGGAAATCCAATTGTAACTGAGATTAAAGGAATACAAATTAATTTTCTTTCATTTTTTTTACTGCAAATTTTCCACAAACAAGTGAAAGTTAACATATTATGAGATTTAATAGTGTATGGTAACTTGAAGATTATGCACATAATCTGTATATATTATGCACACAATAACCTTAAGATTATGTACATATTATGTACCATAATATTCAGGTTTTGATAGACATAATTTATATATAATCTTTAGTTTATTATGTACATCAAGTAATTTGAATGAACTTGTACATATTCACATGATAGCCATAATACATTTCACATACAATCGTAATAAATTATACCAAAATTGATCACTAAATAGACACAATACATTTCATTCCATTTTGATCAAAGTACAACCAAACCACGGTTCTCTTTCCTCCCCGGTAACCTTTCATCCTATAGAACAATAAATAAAATAACAGCATCATCTTACATCAATCTCTTAACATCACAAAAATAATCACAAACCAGTACAACTACATGCAGATAGACCCCATCACAAATCTAAATGTTGTTTCTTTAAGCTCAGGAAAACCACCAGCACTCACACACATACAAAATTATGGAAGAAGAGAGAACTTCCACAGCCTGTGTAATTTTACAATGAACAAAATTTTGAAATGTTCCTGCATCAAAACAAACATTTAAATATGGGTGTTCTTCCACACAAAAGCTGGCCTACAGCTATATCAGAGTAGCCAATGGGCATGTACTATGTTATGCAACCCATAACGAGCTACTGAAGATTTTTTGAATACACCTACGTCAGAATGGGAAATGAACTTCTCAAAGCATAGGAATAAAGAATGCTTGAATTTCAATACTTGCCTGTAAGTAGTTTTTTATGCAATGGTTTAGTCACCTGTTTATAAAAACTATTTCATCAAACTGACCAACAAAAATCAAGTGTATAGTTGAGATAGGTAAGTCCAAACAAAAAGAGTACCTCAGGTCCATTGGCAAGAGAATGCACAAGGATGTCGATGCTTCCAAAGTCGTTTTCCAGTCTCAGCTACTTCCTGATAAGGGGAAACCACTATGATATTGTTGACTCGTCAAAGTGGCAAATTCTCTAACTATAGATGTTTATAAGCAGTTGAAATAAGAACCAATAATCAAAAGTATCATAAACAGTATCTAGAGGATATACTTTAGTAATTTCCATCAGAGATCCATTTGGTAACCTGCACGCACCAATGCACATCTTTTGTTCAGTTAATAAATTCTAAAATTTGATTACAGGGAATACAAATAAAGTATAATGAATGTAAACTATTGTGTACACACGCGTGATTTATCAAATTTCCCACGTCGTAGGGTTGTCTCAAAAATGTTCAACGCCATGAGGAATAAAACATCTATTGTTATAAACTGGTAAAACCTCAATTATGCTATATGACCAATAGACAATAGGATTATAAGTGCAGATTCACATACAGGAACCCATGCTTCAACAAGAATTTCAGCACCTGCAGCAGCAAGAGCCTTTGTAATTGCCCAACCATACCCATTGTCATCAGCAACTCCCGCAATAAATGCTCTTTTACGTGAGGGAGGAGTTAGAACGCAAACATCATTTTGTCAATATGTGATTGAGCTGAGAAAGAAAATTCATGCAGGTATGCATAACATAATAATAGCAATGAACATAACATAAGTCAAGTAGAAAAATTTATGGCACGGACATAGTATATATATATAGTTGTGGTCTCAGAACACTATCATATTCATGGTCTCAAAAAATTATAGAAGAGTTTGTGATAGACAGGACATTCGTTGCTTGTGCCTGAAAATAAAATAGATGAAGGCAACAAAGCAAGGGCAAATAAAGAACTAAATCAAAGTCAAGATAGTATTAATTTATTATTAAAAAAATAAAAATTGTCAAAGAGAATAGCAGATTTATGTTATTTACCAAACAACACAACAAGAATTGATGCAAAATGAATGCAAATAAACCTACAGGCTACAACAGATATTATACCTCTTAAATCAATAGCCAAACCTGCCGCATCCCCTTTGTCACTTTCACTTGACATGGCGCTTGTAGCAACCTTATTAAACTTCTGAGAAGTAGATCTTTGGAGAGGAGACTGAACAATTGGCATACTACACAAACTTTTGAATTTTTTTCTGCTGGTTATTTTAGAATCCAACATAGAGACTGCTGATTTTGATGCCAACAACCTATGATTAGCGGGTTCGTCGACAGCTTCGCGAGGGGACGCCGCGACGGTGGTCGACGGGGAGGCGGTGGGAGGCGATGGAGTCGACGATGACCTGCTGGATGGAGAGGCGGGTGAGGTCCCAGTCACTGGGAGGGGCAGGGGGAGGGGGAGGAGGGCGAGGAGATTGACTGGAGGAGGAGAAAGCCACAGAGGAGGAGGAGAAGAAGATAAGGGAATAAGTATTTTCGGAATGTTTTGGGATGATTTTATAGGAGAGTGTGAAAAACATTTTTTTTTTGTTTTTGGGGTTAAAAAGCAAGGGAAAAACATTGAGAGGTTGGGTCACATCCCCTTTATTTTTTTGGGGCCTGGACACAATTTTCTCTAAAAGTTTTACTTGGCATACGATGCTAAAGATTTTGAGGTCTACAAATTCGACCTAAAATGAAGACATTAAAGTATGTACATTTCAGAAACAGATCCTTCAACATCCGCAATATTTCTGAAACGGAAGCATAAATGCTTGATCTTTTCCACTAAAAACCTATAAAAAATATTATGCTTCTACATGCAAAGAAATGGCCGTTGGAAGCACAAAAAGTAAGAATGGGATACCTGTCATTTAATGGATAAGACCTCTACATATATATATGAAGACACCAAGTACAACATTAAATAAATTTTCCACTTTGTAGAACATCCTGCAAGAATGAAACATGCAGATCTTGAAATGACTATAGATTCTTTGCCACTATTTCAAAGAATAAAGATGACATATTGGTTGTTTTAGACAGAAAGAGGAGAAAGAAACAAAAAATTTAATTATGAAAATTTCATATAAAGAAACAAAATAAAAATAAAAATAAAATAAAAATAAAATAAAAATAAAATAAAAATAAAGCTCATCGTGTATGAAATTACATCTGTGTAAATATCCTATTGTCAATTCCAAGAAAAATAAAACTCATATATTTATTCTCATATTTTAAAAGTGGAAACTTTAAAGTACTTAACCGCAATCAAACAAAACCGGTGGTACTTGTTGTGGATTCAGACCAAGATAAGGCTCACATGAATTAAAATTCTATCTAGAAAAGGATTTGGAGGATCTAGTTGTAATAAGAATAGGTTTGGAGGACCTGAAAATAAAACTCCTTTATAAAGGAATTCTATTCATGAGAAACCTGTAATTTTTTTGGTGATATAGTAAATTGTGAACAGTAACCCGAGAGAGAAAAAGTGAGGAGAGAGAGAAAAAAAGAGATAGAGAGAGTGAAAGTGAGATTTCGGATACCTCGATTGTCTGATTGCAGTGATTCAAAAGCTGTAGTCTTCCGAATGATGACGCCGTCAAGAGTATGGTGTTGGTTTCTCCGCGGGTGTTGGAGATTTTTGGTGAGACGAGTTTTAGGGTTTTGGTGCCCTAGAGGTAATACTGTATCTTTCTCTTATAATTTATTCCTCAAGTTCAGGTATAACTTGGAGGGATTGTACTCTTGATTCATAGTAAAATATTTCTCTCTGGATTGCTCTACGGACGTAGGTAAGATTTGCTGAACCACGTTAAATTTTAGTGTTTGCTTGCCTGTGATATTTTCATTGGTGCTGTTAATCATTTAGTGTTTAATTTCGCAGATTAATCTCCATAAAATCCTTAACAAGGGGTATTAGAGCCCTTGTTCGAGGCATGCTTTGTGATGGAAAAGATGGAGAATTTTGGCACAATGATGAAATTGGATGGTTCCAATTGGTAAGTATGGAAGTCCAAGATGGAAGATATTCTGTATTGTAAAGATTTACATGAGCCTATTGAAGAAGATGAAGTCAAGCCAGAAAAGATGACTGATAAAGAATGGGAGAAACAACACAAGTTGGCGATCAATTATATTCGGATGTGGATCAACGTTAGTGTGTTTTTCATCATGTATCGGGTGAGACTAATGTGAAGTCTCTTTGGAAGAAGCTTGAGGATCTTTACGAGCAGAAGACCGCGGGAAACTAGGCGTTTATTATGAGGTGGTTGGTGAACTTAAAATTTAAAGAAGGAAGCAACATAGCAAGGTACTTGAATGGGTTCAAGAGTTTGATTAATCAGTTAGCTACCATGAAGATGACTATCAATGATGAGCTACATGCTTTTTTGCTATTGTGTTCTTTGCTAGACAGTTGGGAGACACTGGTTATGACAGTCAGCAATGCAACTCTAGATGGTGTGTTATCCATGAATATGGTTATTAGTAGTTTATTTAATGAGGAGACTCGGAGGAAGTCTACTAGCACAGATAACTCACAGGCACTTGTCACGAAGAACAGGGGTAGGAGCAGGTATAGATACTAGTCCAGAGGTCGTGGCACATCCAAGGGCAGATCAAAGTCTAAAAGGAGAGGTTGTTTTGATTGTGGGAAGCCAGGTCATATCAAGAAGAATTATTAGGCATTAAAGAAAGAGCAAACTGGGAACAAAGGTAAAAAGAAAGATGAGAAGAAAAAAGCTGATAGTGACACTGCAGCTACATTATCTGAGACCAATGTTATTCTCATTTGTAAGGAAGAAGACTGTATGCATGTTACAAGTCAGAATTCCGAGTGGATATTAGATATAGGAGCTACATGTCATGCTACCTCCAATCAAGACTTTTTCACGTCGTATAAAGCAGGCGACTTAGGCAATGTGAAGATGGGCAATACTAGCTACTCGAAGATTATGGAAATTGGTGATATACACTTGCAAACAGATACCGAATGCACATTGATCTTAAAGAATGTGCGACATGTTCTTAATTTGCGGCTCAACTTGATTTCGGATCTTACTTTGGACTGAATGGGATATGAAATTCAATTTGGTGGAGGAAAATGTAAAATCGCCAAAGGCTCTCTTAAGGTGGCTAGAGGAAGTATATGTTACAATTTATATAAGACTCAAACAAAGGCTTCATATGATTCTTTAAGCGTGGCTCAAGATGGTGACACTCTCAGTTTGTGGCATAGGAGGCACGGGCACATGAGTAAGAAGGGGTTGCAGATATTAGTAAAGAAGTCTCTATTTCCCTTTGTCGAAGGTTCATCACTCACCCCTTATGATTATTGTTTATTTGGCAAATAACATAGAGTTTCTTTTAGTAAGCCTTCTAAAAGAAAAGATGATATCCTAGATTTGATTTATTTTGATGTTTGTGGTCCTATTGAGGTGGAGTCCTTAGGTGGCAATAAGTATTTTATCATATTTATTAATGATGCATTATGGAGGATGTGGGTCTTCTTATTGAGGATAAAGGACCAGGTGTTTTTAGTCTTCCAGCAGTTTTATGTCATGATGGAGAAGCAAACATGAAAGAAGTTGAAGTATTTGCTCACCAATAATGGAGGAGAGTACACTTCCATTGAGTTTAGAGATTATTGCTCAAAGTATGGTATTCAGCATCAGAGGATAAAGCCCGACACACAGCAACATAATGGAGTTGCAGAAAGGTACAACATGACAATTGTGAAGAAAGTCAGATGCATAATGAAGATGGTGAAATTACCTAAGAGGTTCTATTCTAAAGTCGTTCGCACTGCATGCTACATAATCAACATGTCTCCTTCAGTTCCTTTGGGTTTTGATATTCCAGAGAGAGTTTGGTCCAAAACAGATATTTCCTATTCTCATATGAAGGTATTTGGTTGCATGGTATTTGCAGACATTCCAAAAGAGAAGAGACAGAAACTTGATGATAGAATAGTTTCTTGCATCTTCTTTGGTTATGGAGAAGATGAGTTTGGCTACAAACTATGGGATTCAGAAAATAAATGAATTATCAGACGAGCAGGTATGATTTTTTAGGAGGATCAGACTATTGTATATCTCAGGAGAGCAGAACAGTCAGAGAGTGTTGCTAGTGAGATTACAGATATGACACCCGTTTTATCTCCAGTACAATTGCATCCTACAGATATACAGCAAGTGTATGATGATGATGTTGATGATGATACTTAGATACCAGAGCAGGGAGATGGTGATCAGAATCACGAGTAGGAGGCTCCTTAGCAGGGGGAGCATCACCAGCAGCAGGAGTTTGCGGAGCCACAACTTAGGAGATCAGCTAGAGAGCATTGACCATCCACGAGATATCCTCATTCGGAGTATTCTTTGATGACAGAAAAGGAGGAGCCGAAAGCTTTTAGGAGGCACATACTCATAAAGACAAGGACAGATGATTTCAGGCTATGAAGGAAGAGATAAAGTCTCTTGAGAAGAACGATACTTATGAGTTGGTAGATTTGCCAATGTTACTTATGAAGGAAGAGATGAAGTTTCTTAAGAAGAATGATACTTATGAGTTGGTGGATTTGCCGAAGGACAGAAAAGCTTTAAAGAACAAAT